GGGCCATATTTGCTTGACGTTCCTGGGGGCGAGTCGGTCAGGGGGCGAGTCGGCCAGGGGGCGAGTCAGTCAGGGGGCGAGTTGGCCAGGAGGCGAGTTGGTAAGGGGCAAGTCGGTCAGGGGGGCGAGTTGACCTGACATCTGTTGCCATCAATAGCGCCCTCTATATCACGCGGCGCGTAAGTTCGAATGTGCGGATTCTACAGATTCGGATTGCACCGAAATGTACACAAAACGATCGTCAAGGAATTCACCGAGATCTTGACTCTCAATTGAAATCATGATAGCTTCAGAATATTCTTGACTCGTCATACATCAAATCTGGATAGTTTACTTTGTGGTACAGATTTTTGAAATTGGTGTTTTGGACGGCTTTTCGTCGAGTGTTTTGTCGAACAACGTCCGAAGTCCTCTTGCGTGCCTTACAATGTGTCCCGTGTACGCGTGTGTAGGCTACATCACGTAGGCTATGTATGTGCCCTGAACATGCTGATTGTGTGGAGGAACGTATAGGCTATTGCTGCTTTTCGAAGTTATGCCAGTGCGTACAGTACATCGTTTGCCTTCAAACTTGGAATACAGAATGACATCTAGATCCCTCAACAGTGGAATGGGGGAGAGTATAAAGGTGAGTAGGCCAAGGCCCTACAACATGATTTACATCATGTAGGCGTAATTAAATAGGCGCTAGCCTAGGCCTAAACAGAATAAATAGAGCCTGAAAGTTGACCCCCTGATGCTGCGCTTCTGGAACCCTTGGATTGAAAAAATAACATGCAAAACTTTTAGAATTTGTAATATTTTTTGTTCAGTTGAGTAACTTCTTGTAAAATCTACTTGTAAAGGCCTTTTGTTAAATATTTGCTAACATATCAATTTATAGCCCCACTACTAGTGTGGCTAATCAATTTATAGAAACTGAAAAATTACCTGACCTAAAAGAGAATTACATGTAGGCCTATCCTGCCAAAAATTGACCAATCACTTCCGAAATTTAAAATGCTTGAAGAACTGCAATTCCATGGTCTCGTACATACATGTAGATGGACAGTTACAGAATTATACTTTATGGTGGTAGTCTTTCGGTAAAAGCCCAAATAAAAGCAGTCCAAAATATCTTACCAATGTTGTAATTTATAATGAAATAAACTTAAAGCAATAGCCTGCTTTAGCGAAAGATTCTGATGTATAATCTAACCTAATCTAAGAACTGCGTCAGGTCAACTCAACTGAATCTAAAGTCCATCAACTGCAGGTAGGTAAATGTACAATCTCGTTTCCACGTATATTAAAGCACGGGGAATGATAACAAAGGTGAATGAACAAGGAGACCTACAGTGTAGGAACGGTACTGCCGGAAGTGGAAGGTTGTTAATGCTGACTTTTCTTTAATATTACTGGACGAGAACAAAGGGAAAATTCTGACATGAATGTTTCGTGGGTGGTTTCAGTTAGGAATCATTCTTCCAAAAATTATCGAACATGATAGGACGGCCACATGTAAAATCCCCATAGGCGGACCGTGCGAGGGTTCCGGATTTTGCCAAGTGACCTTTTACTTTCAGGCTCTATAGGCATACATGTACATGTAGGCCTGTGAGATCATCAGGTCGGGATCAATCCACAAGCTAGCGATGACGCCAGATTATGTGTACGCCACTCGATTGTACGACGATGACATAATTTTTGAGCTAGGCTATTTTTAGATCACGGTTCGCAGATGACATCAATGTCTTTATTGGCCAAAAACTTCAATACAAATTGCTCTGATTGATAAAATTAACTAGAGACATACATGTACTATCCCAGATCTACGTGAAATTTCCTTTCATGGGGTATCGCTAAAAGTGAATTGAGGAGATTTTTACGGTCGAATCTTGCACTGGATATGTTGAATTCGGTGGATAGGTGAGTCCAATTCTGCTGATGAAAACGTCAACGTGAAAAAAATAAAGCTTTGCCGAAGTTTACTTTATGCCTGAAAATGTTGCCATTAAAAATCTCCATCGATTCAGTGTGGCAAATTTTATATTTTACCATAGTGATTCTCCAAAATAGAGATCAGAAATAATTTTGCCATAGACTCCAACGGTAATGCCAACTCTGGCCATGTTTGCTGCTGGCATTTCAAATCTCGTCATTTTCCCAAAATCTCTCGGGAAAATAACATTATCACGTGACCCGTTAAGAATGACGTTATTGCTGCTTGAACAAGCGACATAAGCAGAAACTGGGGACGTCGCAAGATTGTGGTTTGGTCATGGACCTGATTATGGCCAGTAATCTGGTAATGATCATCATTACCTGATTACTGGCTGTATATTTATCATTATATAACTGCCATAAAAACCTGGAGAGAGTAAAATTTTGTCCAAAAGGTTATTATGATTTGAAATTGTTTGAAATTTATTTAAAGATACGTGTAATTAAATGACATGGATAAAGAAGTAACAAACTTATGTTTTTTCACTCTCGAAATGGTTAGAGTATGTTCATGAGTTCCATTCAACAAGGTGAATGCACTTATAAACATTCATTATTTCTGTTTCATGAAAAAAATGATGTCATCAATGATAAATGTAGTTAGGCCTACTAGTTGCAGAACTGCACACGGCCGAAGTAGTGGCTTGCAGTTCTGCAAGTACAGTGTCAATGTAGTGGTAGATCTGGGTACTAGCCCGGTGCTGTTGTCTACGTTGCATTGTGACTAGGCCTAACGGGAACATGTCAACTCGTACTCGTGCCAACTTGTACACCAACCAACTCGTATGCAAGCCAACTTGTACACCAACTAACTCGTATGCAAGCCAACTTGTACACCAACCAACTCGTATGCAAGCCAACTTGTACACCAACTAACTCGTATCCAAGCCAACTTGTACACCAACTAACTCGTATGCAAGCCAACTTGTACACCAACTAACTCGTATCCAAGCCAACTTGTACACCAACTAACTCATATCCAAGCCAACTTGTGCACCAACTAACTCGTATCCAAATTCCAAGCCAACTTGTACACCAACTAACTCGACATCAACCAACTCATACATGTACATCATGTATATGAGACGCAAATACAGTATGTACTAATGTAGTGATCTTGCAGAGCAGAAATTTACATGATGTGATCGGTTCCTCAGTCAACCTTGTAGTGCAGGGGATAGTATCGTCTGAAAAAGTACACCTAAGTATTCTGCAGATTAAGTTCTATTTCTAGCTGCTGAGTTTCAGTGGCGTAGCTAGGGTTTTACTAGTGGGGGGGGAGCACAAATGGGGCACAAGCTTTCAGTGGTGTGGTTTTTTGGGGGACAAGTTTTTGTTAGCCCTGTGAACTATCCATTCCATTGGGGGGGGCATGCCCCCCACCCCCCCACATGTACATATATACCTTTTTATTATTTTCCTTTGCTTTGCAGGATTACCAGGTAATGAATCTCCTTGGAAAAGGGGGTTTTGCCTGCGTGTACAGTGCCAAGGCCACAAACACTGGTCAAGAAGTGGCCATCAAAATGGTATGTATAGTGGACTGTAAATGCACAATCTCAAGATGCCACCATGTTGTCAGGCCACAAGAGCATCTAAGCCATGTCCAAGTGAATTGGCTACAGCTAGATATAAAATGCATATGGAAAGTGGGCACAACCACGAGCTACATGACATACATGTAGGCATTTCCATAAATACATGTAAGTACATGTGCATTACATGTACCTAGCTACAGCCAGTTCATTCAGACATGGCCTACATGTACATGTCGATAGGTTTGTTCTCAGTCTCCCATGAACCCAAGTAGCCCATCAGTGGGGACATGTACATGTATGTAGTGAGATGCTGTACTGGTGTGTACATGTATGGCAGACTCTTATTGCCATTTTGCCACCTGGTACATGTTTCTTATCCCTAACTCTTTTTCATTATTAAATGATGTGCATGTAGTAAAACAAGTTTTTTTACTAGTGCTGTAAATGTTTCCTAATTCAAAATGAGGTTGGCAATTTACTGTTCATTGGTTGAATGCTCATATGCCACTTAGAATTTTAAAAGTTCAGGCAACATTTCCAACACATTCTGAAATCATGACCAGTGAGTAAGATCTACACTATATGGCAGGTGGCATATTGGAAAGGTTGAATAGTAATGAATGCAACACTTCAAGCGCTGCTTGTGATCAAGACAGATAAATGTCATTTATTAAAAAACATAAATTTAACCTTCTGATATGTGATCAAGTACTTAAGTTCAGTAGAAGAAATTTGTCCAAACTTTTTTTCCTGCATTAAGTAAATCTGAAAGGTACATGCCATTAATGCAAGACTCAGGTTTTAAAATGTTGATTCCATTTACATGTAAATGTACGTACCACATGTACATCTACATGTGAATGCTCTATGATCCATAACTGATAAACAAGTCTAGTTCATAATTGACAGAAAAACTTCCATGGAATGTAATGCGACATCCGTGAAGTTACTGTGGAAGGTTCTGTCTTCAAAACAGTGTCAAAGTTACCAAAAGATAACACTTGAATTTGTGTTCTATCTGATTTTTGCTCTGCTGGATTGAGTAGATAGATAAGAAGATGATGCAGGCAGCAGGCATGGTGGGCAGGGTCAGGAACGAAGTGGAGATTCAGTGTCAGCTCAAGCATCCATCCATCTTGGAGGTAAGTTGCAAAACTTTGTCATAAATTTAACAACCTTTGTATTGCTTGATTGCCTCATTTCAAAAGTTGCTTGTTGTTGGTGTTGGATGGTGATATATTTCTTAACAACTGCTCCATACAAAATGCAAAAATTTTACAGTGCTAACTGGTGACTGACTTGTCCATCCATTTGAAACCGGTAAAAATGGATAATACCATGAGGTTTATTACAGTATTAAACACCAACCAATGCATGATTCATTTCTTCACCTACAGCTCTACAGCTACTTTGAAGACAATAACTATGTTTACCTGGTACTGGAGATGTGCCACAATGGGGAAATGAACCGTTACCTCAAGACCCACAACAAAGTTTTAACAGAGGAAGAAGGTATGCCAAAGCTATCAAGGATTTGCCAAAAAAAGTGTTTAAAATGTTTTGGCACGTGTTTACAAGCAGTTTACAGTGTTGATCAATAATATATATGTCCAATGCAAATGCAGCATTGATGTAGTTTTCAAAAGTGGTTTAGTTTGTCTGTGTTCTCCAGCAAGACACTTTACTGCAATTGTACCTAGATGGTTTGCCGTGTGTGAATGTTTTAGGCACAGTTTAAGGACACCAAAGTTTATTTCGTGCTTTGTTTTGTCATCAATTCATTGGACACATTGAAGTTTGATTTTTTTTTCTCTTAAAAAATTCTAGAAACTAAACGAGACCACAAGGAATAACACCCATTTCTCTCTGTTGCTTGTGTAGCACGCCACTGTCTGAAGGAGATTGTGCTTGGAATGCTTTATCTCCATTCACACGGAATACTACACCGAGACCTGACCCTGGCAAACATACTGCTCACAAAGGATATGCACTGTGTAAGTGACCACTCTCATACATGGTAACACCCTGTGTAACACTTGTAGAGATCTATGCATGGTTTCATTTGCCACGAGTGCCAAGTGTGGACACCGAGGTCATGAATTGTCCAAATCAACTGGTTGCGGCTGAGGGTGACACACTGATCTATGGGAAGTGGCTGTGGCCATTTGCCAGTGGCTTCAATAGGCAAGCATGCTACTTCAAGCCATAGCCATAAGTTTTGGATACGATTTGACATTGGGCAGGTAACTTCACTGGTTCAACCATGTCAAAGCCTTACCTTTTGTACTAAATAAGAATTCTCAACAAATAAGCCTGTTCGATATGCCGATATGTCATGATATTTCATTATGATGTTGATATTGGATATCGTATCGTTTGTAAAAACACATATCGGGATATCGTGTAAATTGATATTGTGTAAATCGATATGCCAAAAATTATTGCGATAAGCTCCAAACGATGCACTGTACATGCACATAGGGAAGTCAGTGCACCGTGTGTTGAGCCCTGCATGCATTACTGCATTTGAACCACACGAATACTCCATTGAAAACCTCAAACTATTCACTGTTGGCCTCAAGCAGCTGCAAGGATCTTACAAGTATTAGGGGGCAAAACCAAACCAACAGACTTTACGCACATGTAATGTATTGTACAGTAAACTCCAGCTAAGTCAGAATATTGACAAAAATTTAATATAAATCAGTGCTCTGGAATATGTGATTGCTGAGCTTTCGGTAACTGAGTACCTTCTTCAGGGCAAGCAGATTCAGTTCTGATCACGGTGCTATGCAGCCCTTCCATATTTCTCCAGCTAAGTCAGCTCTCCCTCAGCACTTGAGATCGTCATACGGCACACCGTGCGCAGTGGTTAAGTTTGTTCAGTAAGACGACCCCCAAAATGGAGCACTATAGAGGGGTCACTGGTATTGATGTGCCCAACCACGTGCTGGTAATAAACAGACATCAGTCAAGCAGTGTGGGGCTTGTTTTGGTTATTTTTTGTGTCAACTGCCATGTGTATGTAGATCCTATACTCTTATGTGCAAGCAAAAATGACAAAATATACAAAGGCTTGTCAGGATATGTGTGTCTATTCACCATATACACACTTTTTGTTTTTGAAGGATTGCTTGACTTGTCACGACTGTCAGCAGTTCTACTCTTATTATTTTTCTCCTCAGAAAATTGCCGATTTTGGCCTTGCAGCAAAGCTGAACATGCCCAATGAGAAGCACTATACCATGTGTGGCACGCCCAACTACATCTCACCGTATGTAGACAGTTTGTTCCACCGAAGTGTGAAGAGTGCATTGTGGGAATTGCAGATGTGCTAGCATGCCACTGAACATACTTTTTTTACATGGATATCCCCTGAGCTAAACAGTATAGATCCATTCACCACATATACCTACAGGGTATACATGTACACATTCCATCTGAGCCAAATTCTGCATACTTGAGGATTGTTTCACAAACATGCATGTAGATTGATCCAAGCTCCTACATGCATCCAAATATTAGGACAACAGTAAGTTTTGCCTTTCTACCACAATATGGCATAATTGTTTTGCACAGGAAGCAGAACTACAAATGAGCCAGTGAACACAATCGCTGTTCGTTCTTACAGTAAGACAACTCAGCCATAGCTGTAATATTGTAGCACCTATACAGTACTACATCATTCCAGCAAAAAACATAGGTGTCACACTAATTATTAGCTTTCTTGGAGAATTTTCCAAATCTCAGTTTCATCATCATCTCTGGCTCTGCCTGATTTTTTGAACCACCCTAAAAGACAGACATTCAGCTTAGGGAAAAAAGTCTGAGGAACATTAGAATGGATGCTGCCAACCCAAAGATGGAAGTAGTTCATTTAGTGTGAACATTCAAGGCCTACAAGAGGCAATGCCCACAGCAGAGATGATAGCAAGATTTGAAAACCACCTCTTACTTTTGTACCTCTTGACCGTGCTGAATAATGCTGTAATTTTGCTTCCATACCTGCAGTGAGATAGCAACCCGTAGTGCCCATGGCCTTGAGTCTGATGTGTGGTCACTAGGGTGTATGCTGTACACATTCTTGGCCGGCCGGCCACCATTTGATGTATGTATGACAGTTTTTATTTCTGTCCACCATAGATTCCATGATTGCAACGAAAATCACAAATTTTTGAAAGGAATTCACAACAAGAAAAAGAAATTGTTTCATATGAGTATCCTCATATAAATTTTTTTAAATTTATTATGTATACAAAGGTTTCAATTTAATTGTTTTTGCTTCTTTGATGCTATGTTTATTGTTTCTTTTCTGTAATGAACTATGTTTCTTTTCTACAGACAGAGGCAGTGAAGAGCACACTGAACAAGGTTGTCCTGGCAGACTATGTCATGCCAGAGTAAGTAACACACTGACACTTTCCTCTTAGTCTAGTTATCAAGTTCTTTACAGCAAGTTTCTCTGCTTAGCAAAATCTGCATGAATGACAGCCAGTCACAAGCGGTGCACTTTATGCCCTACGTTGCTCAGAAAAGTATTGTGACTTTTTGAGATTTTGAAAATACAACAGTAAACAACACAAACAGATTTCAGAGCATTTCAAAGTTGTGTGTGTCTTTCAAATTTTCAGTTTTTTGCTGCCTTCCTATTCAATTTTTCCACGTGTCCCGCACGAAAGTTTATGGACTGCTATATTTACAATCTTTATCTGTATTCTTTGTTTTTCTGACATTTTTGCCTTATGTTTTTTTCCAGGAAAATATCTGCTGAAGCCAAGGACCTCATACTCAAACTTCTCAGAAAGAACCCAGATGAAAGAATCAGTCTCTCAGGTAGACATTGATTTTGTTGCGAAGAAACTAAATCAGTTCCATTCTTACTATTTTCCAAACCACAAATCATTCTTTTTATCTCATATTGCCGGCAGCTTTAGTTTCTAATAAGGCCTTCAATTTGATCGAATATCCGAATATTCAGTCGCACTGACAGGCAGATTGTTGATTAACAAACCATATATACAAAATCAGTTGCAATAACACAGGCAATTATACATCATGATCAATATAATAGCTTCTCACATCTAGGAGTATCTCCAGCCATGAGTTAGCAAGATTTAAGAGATGAACAAGACTTCTTGCCCTGTTGAAAATTTCTATTCCTTTCAAATTGTTTAATGAATAAATTACTTTTTAAATTGTTGCAAGATTTCTGATGCTTTTCATTTGAATCTGCTTGAAACAAGCCTCCATAGTGAAATTTTCTCATTTATTCTAATAAAACAAAAGAAAATTTTCCCTTCCTTTTCATGAATTTTGCAATATTTTTTTGGAATATTCCAATTCGAAAAACAGTATTTGAATATTCGACAATTGATCGAATATTGGGTTATTCGGATTTTCGGCACAGCCCTTTTTTCTAATGTCACACTCTTCTTCTTGTGCTCCATCAACAAAGTTAAAAGCATTCTGTTTCTGCCTTGTCCGTCCCTGTATGTGAGCAAGCTTTGACCTCTGTAAAAAAGAAGTCCACATAATGTTTGAGCAGAGGAAATTATGTGGGTTTGCATATGTCCACACAGTGTTTTCCCCTCTCTGAAAAACAGCTTCAGAGGCATTCTGGGATCAGGGCTGTGGGTGGCAAAATGAAGAGGATCGGTTTAGGGAATCATCAAATATCCAAGTTGAAAGAGTCTTCATAGAAAAAGGAACATTTTCCCTAAGTTTTTAACCAAAGGAGAATAAAGGAATGTCCACACTAGGCATGTGTAATAATCGTGTGTAGATACAGGTGTATGTGTCTGGAAGAATCTTGTCAGGGCAACCACTTGAGAACCACTTGTCATATGGACTTCATATTTGATTTGTGGATTGCTTTTGATGATCCCAAGAAGCCTATTGCATTTTTGACCAAAAGGTTGATAGTCACGGTCACAGTAGCTTAAACAATTGAAATCTTGTAATCACAAATTTAAACTCTGGGCTCAGACATTAGCTTACAGGCTGATTGTGTTGTTAATATATCATTCTCGTCTTATCTCAGAATGTATACTCTTTATAGAGAAATGATATCATCTTCTAAATTGTTTTTTTTTTTCTTGCTAATTTTATCCCAGGTGTTCTGGACCACCCTTTCATGACAAAGAGCCCCTTGATCAATCACCACATGGTGCAAGATGGCCAGACTGCCAAACAAGTGAGTTTCTTTATTTGAGAACACTATTGGCTTTGTGCAGAATGAGAGGGAGCCCTTTGTGTAGCAACAACCTCCCTTGGCTTGCCTACGGCATGCATATGGAGTACAGTATGCACAATTAATAGGCCTGTTTACTTCTGACATTTCACTTTGTTTACACGTTCGCTTTTCTGTGGAGCTTGAAATCTGCGGTCCCTACATAGCTGCCATAGGAAAGCACACATCCAAACAAACTGTCATGTCATTAGTACATAAACCTATTTGTTAGTCTGTTTTGATTCTCATATTTTGATGCTGATGTTCTCTTTGTCTTTGACTTACAAAAAAAGAGGAAACAAAAACCAAAGAAAATTACAGTTGAGCAGAATGTGCAATAAGTTTGCTGCATAGCCATGGGTACATTTCTCCTGTGCAAGCATGGCTAATATTCCCATTAATGCTGCAGAAGATGAATAATTGCAATTTTTATGAGTGGCTTGCTGCCCTTAAACGATGGAAAAATGGAATTCAAATTCTTAATTGGAACAATTCCAAAGCTGTCATTTTTTTATTCCTTGCAACTTTATTCAGAGGCACATTGAGTCGTCAGTAGACAGTGGCCTTGCTACCATGGCAACCCTCTCCACAGCAACAACCTTCCCCAGCCGTCTGTCTTCCCGTAGCCGACCGATCAAAGCCTTGCCCCTTCCCAATCTCACCCCACTGGTGTCGCAGGAAGAGGGGTTGGGTGGAACCAAGGGCCACGCCTCTGACTTTAACAGTTGCAGGGTACAGGAGGGGTACAGTGAGGCACGGTGGAGAGGGAACCAGTATGACCGGCACCCGCCATCACCGCCAGTCCGAGACAGAGCTGGGTAGGTTTGGACAGATTGGCTGCAGCAAGAAATAGTTCACAGTGCTTTTACTAGTGATGATGACATTTTTCACAGGCAACGAATTTCATTTTTTTTTAGGGCACTGCCATTTGGCATTGGTGGACTGGCTGAAATAAAGGGCACAAATGCCAAACGTGAGGGTATTCCATCAGCGTACTAAAGTTATGGGCATCAATGCCACTCGATTTTTTTTATATTGCATGAAAATCAATATTCATTCAGGCCTAAGCAAAAGTAGGATATGCATTATACCTTAACATGTCCATGATTAGTGCTGAACCAGCAGCTGAGTGTTGAAAGGCTTCAGCCTGTTTTGACTGCAGCCATTCTTTCCTCAGTATTTTGCCTACCACACTCGAGTGACGTCGTGTTATGCAGATCAGATCGCACGCTGCACGTGGCCCTAAACTGCAAACACTACATTGCAGTGTTAGTTAAAATACTGCCACGACTATGCAGTTGTCCCGTGTGCGTGAAAAACGTGCAGCTCTCGATATACCGTTACCGCGATCATGGAATGATGTGTATGTTGCTTTCCGTGCCATTTACCGTGTACCTCGCTGAACAGGGGCAGTCGATATACACTTGTAGGGCACTATGGCCAAGAGAAAAAAGGGCACTGCCATCTTGGAGGTGAAACATAATCACTTTCTGGAGGCACCACCGCCAAATGGGAGGGCACTGATGGCCATGGCCGTTGTGGCCGTTGGGAAATTCAAGGCCTGTTTTCATACAGGAGTGCTGTGCCTCGATTGGTCAACTTATCGTGCATTTTTATCTTGGCATGTATTCATATTTGATCTGAGCTGACCAGAGGATAATTGCATCGTTGTCCTTGAGCAAGACTGCATGCGACAATTTTGAAAGTACGAGTGTAAATTATTGTACCAGTTACTGTTTGTCCAAGAGGAAAATGCCAAAATGTAATACTCACCAGACAGTTTTTAGGATTTATTTTGTTCAAAATTTGAACATTCAAGCACTGCTAAACTATTCAAAGCTCTGCTGAACAGTCTTGAATCTATCTAGATGCTTCAAAAACCTAGAAGTGGATTTCGATGTTTTCCAGCAGATAGGAGTAGTAAAGGTGTTAATTGTAATGGCATTGTCGTGTGCATTTTTGTTCTGTTGTAATTATTTCATATTCCGTTGTAGCTTCAAGAAGAATTCAGTGTGTGATGACCAATCAGGGTCTGTGTCATCCACGACATCCAGACAGAATTCCTGCATGGACAGCGTGGGTAAGATACAAACACTTCTTAGCTAATTTTTTTTAGTGTTTTGAAAACAAAATAATGGACTTCATTTAATTTTTTTCAATGCATCTTGTTGAGTCAGCTGAAGAAAAATCAAACTTCAAGTTATTTTATTTGTCTTCATACTGGAAGCACCTTTTACCTTAATATGCTGTAAGTTAGATGTTTGTAAAAACAAGAACATTGAATTGTTATTTCCTTCCCTCCAACCCTGCCATTTCATGCCATGTTCGTAATCTCATAAATGAAAAAATGTTTGCCTTATACAGAAATGGGAGGAAAACTGAAAAATACTTTTAACCTTGTTTTAAAAGTCAAGAGCACGATTCATTTTTATGCATAATTTTTTGTAAAATTCTGTCTTACAGTTTGAGCTTAGGGAAGCGAATAGCCTTCAAAGCATTTGTTAAAAGAAATCACACTTGTTCTGTTCCTCCAAAAACTTTAACAAAATGGACAGTTTGTAAATTGTTGAAGCTAATTTAACCCTCAGAAGCCAATTTTGGTATTTCAATTTTGTTGAAAAACATCCATTTTTGTGAGGTTTTTCAATAACTTTCAGTTTTTGTGAAGAAGATATCACTTCCATAATTTCCATGTAATTTTCTAATGTTCTTGTGCAAGGCACAGAAGGATACAAACACCAATTACTGCAAGATGCCAAATCAAGTTATCACAGTAATCACCGTAGCCAGTCTGTGGACGGTAACAACAAATCCTCAAGCTTCCTGGCCGGCGTGCACCATTCTCAGCACTCGGAACTGTCGGACTGGACAGACGCGAGACATCATCGACAAGCAGTGCCAAACAGCAGCCAGCCAAACAGGACTCCACTCGCCACCCGCGATGACAACGGGCACGAATTTGGCAGGCATAACATGAATGACAACCACTGGACCCATGTATCAGACTCCAGCAGAGAGCACAGGAGTGACAGGAGCAGCGTGGATAAATCAGACAGGTTCTGTGGGAAAAAAGGAAGCAATTTCCGTATCGGAAGTTCTGCTTTTGTTGGCATGGGCAGCAAAGAACATTCTGCTTCAGAAGAGCAACTGTTCCTGAGGAAGTCTTCTGATCCCAAGCAATCGGAAGATGCATATAGAAACAAGGAATACTATAAGAAAAGAACAGGTGATTTACAAACAGAACCAATTGAGTATAGAACAAATAGCTTGGGATCAAGAGACACCAAACAAGATTCTGACGAAAAGAGAATGAAGTGGGACTCCCACCAGTCACATCAAGGTACCACAACTGGAGTGAAGAATCATCAAACAGACTGTTCCCCCGACCAGTCGGGATGCTTGATGTACGATGCGGGGAAAGCCCGTCATGCAAAGCACCGGAGGAAGGAAGATATCGAGAACACCAACTTGCAGAAGAGCCGACCCACGCCGTCCACCTCCTTGGGAGACAGCCACAGGAGGGAACAAAGCACAAGCGAGGTGAAACGGAGGCACACCCAGAAACATGAGAAGAGGGAACAGAGGGATGACAATGATGGGAAGAGCTTGGTTGAGTTGACAGCACCACTGAATGCCCGTAGGTTGAGACCAATCAGGCAGCGCACCAGGAATGCCGTGGTAAGATGACAAGTCCTTGGTTTCAGCTGTTAAGCATGTAAATCAGCTGACCAGAAGAGAGTTTTATTAAACTCAACTTGAGTTTAATAAAAAAAATAATTTGTATTGAAAATTCCTTATGACTGGTTCAATTTGTGCTTGGCAGATTAATTTGTTGTATTTTTCTAAACCCTGCATTGCAAGAAAACCTTAAAACTCAGTCTTGGATTTCTTTAAAATTTTCCTCCTTTCGATCTGTTTTGTGACAAAGTAATAATATGGTCACAAAATTTTGCCATTTCACTCTTTCTCTTGCAGCAGGGAATCAAACATTATCTAGTAACATTTTAGACTGGAACATATTGAAAGCTTGTTTTGTTATACTTGCAGCAATTTGAGCGGTTCATGTACAACACATGTAAAGCAGATTGACATAAATTTTCAAATATTACCTCCTCTCTTTATTGACATTTGGCCTCATTCAAAACTGCATGTAATTCAAGAAATGATTCCCCTTTCCTAAAAACTTTTATAACTGCTGCTTTCAGCATGGTTTGATTATTGTTAATACTCTTGTTTGCTCATTTTGGGTTTTTTCAGGTGAGTATACTTGACAGTGGTGAGGTTTGCTTGGAGTTTCTGAAGAGCAAAGAAGGCAGAGACCGAGTAGTTGAAGTCTGCAGGATCTCAGAAGATGGAATGCAGGTTAGCTTTACATAACTGGCTCTGAGCTTCTGAGTATAGGCCCTTATTTATAAAAAAAAATTGAAATGAAATTATTCTTTAAGGCCATCTTTGGTCACCCAAGAGCACGTTCCAAATGGCAGGGCAGTGTCAGCTGATGCAGTCACCAATGTAGTCGGCAACTCTAACCTTACAAGTACATGTGTATATCCATGATTCCCTTGTTGGCAGAAGCATATCACATCAAAGCTTCTCACTCCAGGACACATGCACTGCCATCCCATTGGCTGGCTCAAGTATGCAGTCCATCTCATTGGCTGGCTCAAATGTACAGTCTCTCTTATTGGCCGGTTTGAATGTATAGTCAATCTCATTGGCTGACTTAAGTGTAAAGTCTGTCTCATTGGCCGCCTCAAATTTACAGTCTGTCTCATTGGCTGACTCAAATGTGCAGTCCGTCCCATTGGCTGGCTTGAATGTACAGTCCGTCTCATTGGCTGGCTTGAATGCACAGTCCGTCTCATTGGCCTGCTCGTATGTACAATCTATGGAACGTTATTAATATAATGAGTGTAGCCAGTTCAATGGAGCTGAGGACAAACAAACAGCTGAGTACATACATTTTTGCTGGGTGAAAAATATGTCAAAAAAGTACAGCAACATGTCAAAATGTAAAATGTGAAGCAACGTATACTGCCGGCAACTGGTTCAATATAGCCATTTGATTGGCTAAGCAACATGTTTGACAATATTTAGCCATGTCTGAACTTGTTTGTTTGAAATCACACATGAGTCAATGGTAGATGCTGCATGTACATCCAGTACAGTTGCATAATGACTTTAAGCCACAGCCCATAAATTTGAACACGACCTTAGGTTATTCAGCAGTTTAGCCACTCCTCTGACGTTTTACCCACTATTCAGATCACCCTCTACCACCCGAACGGCGGCAAAGGTTTCCCCGTAGCGGACGCCCCTCCCTCCCCACCCCAGGACCACACAACCCTGTACACCTACCACGACCTGCCCACCAAGTACTGGAGGAAGTACCAGTATGCTGCTAAGTTTGTGCAGCTGGTGCGCTCCAAGACGCCCAAGGTGACGCTGTACACCAAGGAGGCCAAGTGTATGCTAATGGAGAACTCGCCAGGGGCCGACTTCGAGGCCTGCTTCTATGAAGGTGGGTCCCTAGCTTTCACGTTTGTCAAAGTGGTCCCTTTCACCACAGACTAGTCCAGTGATCACCATTAGAAGTCATTACTGTTGGTTGGTGCACGATATTTGCACATAGGTGGGTCATTCTTTAAATTCGGGGTCCAGCAAAGCTTGTGTCCTTGCTCCACTTGACCCGTGTAAGTTGAGATGGAAATATCTTTTTATTTGTTTGCCTGGGAATTTGTGTTCATGAATCACTCCTGTGATTTGTTCTAAACTTACAAAATCAGTAGTCAAATGTGACAGGGAAATGAAAAGAACTGGGCCCCAAATTCATAGAATGATCCAGGTCTAATACCCATGTTAAATGCCTCTTTGGCTGATGGGATTTTATGTCTTTCTAAGATGTAAGTGCCCCATAAGTCTGTGTGCAGTGTGTGTGAGTGTGGCGTCACTGCAGTAATGGCTTCCCTTGGAACTAGCCAAAAACACATTCCTTCTTGAATGTTCGTATTGTGCTGAAAGTTGGTCAATTTGTCACCCATCACCCAATGCAAATCAGAAAACCAGGTTTGGTGTTTTGAAATTTTGCTTCAGAAGTTAGTGTTAGTGCTAAATGCTGGTTAGCTGGCAATGCATATAGTTGTCCTTACACTACAAATTCTCTGTCTCTTGTGACATTTTCATGGGTGTGAATTTATTACATATGAAGTTTTTCTGTGTGCTACTTCCTGGAAATGATGCTTGGTTGGGGATTATTTATTAAGTAGTGACACCCAGCCCTCTTGTGCTTGCGGTCTCTCAGGGTTGTATGCACTAGTTTCATCACTGCCGGTCAATGTGAGTACGGTACTAACATATTCATGTTGCAGATGTAAACATTCAACATCACCTTATCCAACATGTTTCTCAACCCAGGCACAAAGCTTCACCTCTTGGGACACACCCTCCAAATCACTGATTCCTGCAGCAAAGCCACCTCAGTTGATGTGTCTGATGGATACCAGGCCATCCCCGCTGACACTCAGACCAAGGTGGATCACATGCATGATGTGCACCGGCAGTGTCTGGAGCTGGAGGCAGCTATTGCTGGGATGGAGTCAGTCAAAGGTCACGGGCCCTACTTCCCCATCATCATATGCAGGTGAGATATGGCAGTTTGAATAGATCTCTTTCCGCCCCTCCACAGAGTGGTTATTGCAGACATGCCCCGTATTTGCATACTGATTTCTCAGCACATGTCGCAGTGAAACACAATCCCTCAATTGTGCAAAAAAATATTTCCAAGTAACGATATAATTATTGTGTCTACCATTTGTAAAATTTAATTCATAGAGGGCATTGGTGTCATTTGTGAAACTTCAGTCCAAACAATAGACCTTGCTGTATAATCTGATTTGATTTTAGTTCTTTTGTTTGCAACCTGATAAGTCAAAAAATTTTGAAAGAATCGTTACCCTGTAAAGTAACTTGGACTATTCTGTCTGAAGTTGATCAAAAATCTGCTCAAGTAAGTGAAGTTGTTTCATTTGGTTATAGAAAGCCGACCTCATCAGGTGCCTCTGTAATGGCGGACAAGACCATCCAGAATTCTAAGCCTGGCGCTCCCCCTGTGACAACCGTGACCTCACCCAGTGTGCCACCCCCTGTGTCAGCATCTGTATGCTCCTACGATGGCACAGTCTTCAGCATGAAGAGTGAGGCACCAAATACTGCCTTGTCAAAGCCAACCCACGGTAGGCCCCCAAAACCTTTTTCAAGATGAAATTTCCCAATAATATAAATAGGTGTAGGAGTAGGAGACACTCAAAATTTTTTATATTAAAGTTTTGATTTGAGACTCCTTTTGGAATTGAGTTCATCGTGAATTGCAGCCTGCACGGGGAACAAACTTGACCTAAATATTGTAGTTTGCAGTGGTTCATTTTTTTCCGATAGGTTGTACATGAAATGCTCAAACTTAAGAGGGCGCCAGTGGAGCGTGGATTTCTGTAAAACAAATCACACAATTACTATACATTTACGTAAGTTTGCATTGAGTTCAGCTCTTGAAAGAGCAAATCTGAAATCAAGGCATTTCATAGTCATTCTTAACAGCTGGAGTGGTTAATCTGTCAACATCTTGGGTTTGTAGTTACTCATGACTTTTATAAGTAAAGCATCTAGTCGAGGTGCTTTCATTCCATGAACAGGATTATTTTGTTTAGTGCGAGTAAGCGTTCAGTTGTCCTCTTGCACTATTAGTAACCCATTCAAGGATTACTGTATAATAACTGCATTGAAAACAAAGTTTTGTATCTTCATTAAATGAAGCCCATGTACCCTAAGTTTTTTCCACCACTTACTTAGTGTGGACACTCCTTTGTGTTTTCAAATAGTTAAGAAAACTCAGTGAAAATGCCCATTTGTCTTGCACTGTGAGTACACATTCAAGCAGGATTCTTGTTTATGGTTTCTTTGACTATTCCTCTTTTTTATACAAACAAACCAACCAAACCTCTAAAACTTTCTTCCAGAAAGAGGGTAATCTTGTGTGGACCTTGCTGAATCTTCACAAGTTCTTTGCAACTTACACTAAGTAGACCTCTTTTGCTCACTTTAGGTATGTGAGATTGGTACACCTCAACCTGTCTATGTTTTGGGAACGAATTATTATCCCTGTGCTTTCTTTTTTAGGTTCCAAGGCTAGCAGTAAACGGGTAAGGGACTGCAGTCCCCCCAGCCAACAGAACATCCTCAAGAGCACCTTTGTGCCCAACGTCGGCTGGGCGTCCCAGATGGCCACGGGTGAGATGTGGGTCCAGTACAATGACGGCACCCAGATCATTGTCGGGGCGTCGGTGTTGTCGGTCAAGTTCATCGATGCGCAGGGAAATATCCTGCAGTACGGACCCACTGACAAACTGCCGGACAGCGTCAAGTCCAAACTGGCGCAGTTGTCTGCAATCATTGAAATGTTTGTCAGCAAGTGATGTCTACCTTAGATCTAGCTGTCAATTGTTATTTTCTCAAAGAGAGACAACAAAGCCTTGAATCCAGACTAATGCACCCGGCTGGTCTGCAGCTACTGTTGAAATGCCGGTCAAATTATGGATATCCTCTAATTAAGTCGTACTTAACAATTCCCACAGATAGACGTCAAATCTTTGAGGAACATTATTCATCAGTTTACCATGTGGTTTTGGATGCGACAGAATTAACAGTCTCAACAGTTTGTACCTGTTCAGTAGTATCCAATTTCTGAGTATCCTCTTCCTTTATATTTTGGTCCATGAACTGAAATTCATGGGTTGATTCATGACAATAAGGATAGCAGAATTTAGATCAAATGTTAGACTTTGTATCATGTACAGTGGTTTGGGTTTTTTGTTTTTAACAATTGGAGATTTTATGCGTAAACTACAGTTATATATGTTTTCATATTGTGTTCAATAAAATGAGAATATAGTACAAACTTTGAATCATTGTACATGCCATTTATAGATATAAAAAAATATCACTTATTAAGAGCCTCTTAGATTCAAACTTCATTGTACAAAAGAGAGGGATTAAAATTTTATTTGAATCCTTTCCAGTACTGTGTGCCTCTGTGTGACCATTTGACCTCTGTCAGAAAAGAATTAAATCTCTGTGCAGCCAAATTTTGTTTGTGTGTTTGTACTCGAGTGTAATTGGGTATCATTAATAATTTTTGTGTGAAAAATAAAACTCAACCTGAGCTAAGTCCTAAACCTGAAATGGTCCTAAGTCTTCTCATCCCATTGAGAAATGCCAGGATTTAATCAAATGTGGCATTTCCAATATAACATAGCAGGGTTTTTCACATTATTTTGTTGATGAAAACAGTTGACTGCGACAAACTGAACAGCTACATGAATCCATAACACTCTGACAAAAGTGCAACAAACTGTCCTGGCTAATATGAGAAAAGGTACGTGTACCTTTAAGTCTAAAGGCATGCTCATTTCTTGGCATCCCCTTATGGGGATGGTTTGGTAATGAATAAGTACTTGAAAGATTTGATATTTCCCTTGCTTTTATGTTTATTTCTTTTTCGATGGGTAGTCCTATCAACTACGTGTACTCTTTTCCTTTAAAAGGAAGTGTCAAGTTTGAATCACTGACTCATTTTTGAACGTCTGCCAGTATAAATTACCATCGGTAAACCATTTCTTCAAGCAGAAAGTATTCTGATGAATCACATGTAGCACCAATTTTTTTCAAATGAAAACTGGACTAGGCTCTGCTCTCTTTATGTCACAGTTTTTCCTACAAGTGGCTGCTAAAACTGGCTGGCCATCAGTGTGAAAGTCAAATACAACAAATCACAAAATGCGTTAAAAATCTCGAGCAGCTGTCGAAACACCAGTTCTTATTGCACTTATTACTAAATGCTAAATGAAAACACAACCCTCTTCAAAATTCATCGGACAAATGTACATTAAAAAAAAACTAACGTAACATCGAAAACCAACCAAAGAATATTTTGGCTGCCCATACGAATTACAAGTAAGATGAGAGTGATTTATTTTAATGGTATTCTACCTTAAGGATTCTTCTTGAATAGTTTCAATATTTTTCGTATGGGATAGAATTTACCTGAAAGAGAAATTAAAAAAAAAGATCAAAAGGTGGTCAAAGTCCGGCTATGCGAGAGAGTGTCAATTGACTGATGAGATTAAATCTGTAAATGAGAGAACACACAACCACCGGACCACCCATTCAATGTTGCGGCGCCCATTGTATTTAAATGGCAAGGTTTTGTACTTGTCGTAATCACAGTGTCTAAAAAAGTGACATCATTTAATCGAAAAACGATGTTTTAACCAAAAATGTTGTCCTTATTTGAATACTTAGAAAAATTTATACAAAATTTTATATCAAGACTATTAATATAAGCTGGCACTTGAGTAAACAGGCCAAAATGTACAAATTTGATTCTTGATTGTGCACCGCTAGTTTCAACTTTGACCTCAAAATGTCCTATTTAGCCAGTGCTAGCTTTCTGATTGGGCAGCGCTAGATGGCACGAAATGACTGGGAACATTCAAAATCGTGTGTGGTCGGAATGGTCGATTGCGTTGCATCGATGCCAGAGTACACGATATTTTGATTTATTTCGGGAGATTTGTTGGATGGATTTCCATGGGTGTATAACATTCAGCTGAAAGGTAGTGTACCAGTTGTATGACTGTAATATGATACCTTGTTTCGTAAATAGATGACATAAGGTTAGGCCCTAACGTTAACTTGCACTAAAGTTGCAACGACCAAACATGGAGGTAGAATACAACAGTCCCTAGGCCTACCGTCGCGTCGTCACCATGGGCCTGCTAATTGCCAGTCTGTGTTCTGGTGGTTGCAAGCCTACATCAAACATGTACATGAAGGTACACACTAGGCCTACTTGCAAAACTCCAAGCATAGAGCAAGGACACATCTCTATGCTCACGTCACTGGGGCCTAACCTAACGTCATGATTAACGTCTTATTATGGTCATGATGGTCAGATATCCTCGAGTCAAGTCGTCCCCCAAAATTGAAACCCTTAATACCCTGGTCAAGTCGTCCCCGGGTCAAATCGTCCCCAAGTCAAATTGTCCCCGGGTCAAGTCGTCCCCCAAGTTTATCTATGAATTTTCCCTTTCTTTCTAGGTACATCAACATGTAGATGAGAAAGAAAACAATACACATGTACTCATTTATTCACAATTTTCATTCGTTCTACGCAGCTAGCTTTTGAAATCTATGGTTCCGAAGACGTGCCACACAAGATCTTTATTAAAAGGGCAATTCCTGGTATGTGCCAATGTAACAGCTCATAGGCCTGTTCTTGAACTGTCAAAGCAATTTGAACATCTTTAAATTTCATATCTGCCAGTTGTCATTTCCAGTTTATTTAAATAACTTTCTGAAATCAGTAATGCGGAAATGAATGTTAGTTATTTTGAATAACTAGGAAAGTCAGGTTGTTTCAAGAGGTTGAAGTTGGTTTTGTTCATTATTCATTATTTTTTCATTATTCTTATAATGGTAAGAATGGTGGAGAAATAATTTAACAAGTTCTTTGCTCTTCGATCTTCGAAGAACATTCGAAGAATGTAGGGGCAGCTGTTTCTGCTCTGGGAGAGCTACCAAGCAGGCGAGCTGAGGATGTCCAGTCTCCATGCCAAATGCAAGCATCTCACTGGACTATCGCTGTAGGCAAACCGGGCCTGAATCGTCAAACCAACTGGCTCTTTCGGAGATAATTCAATCCTGTCTGATATATTGATTATTAAATGAAATAAAAATAAATAACTCAAATAAAATAAATAAAAAATATACCAATAAAAGAAAAAGAAAAAATAAATTACCCCAGTAAAAACTTGAAAAGAAAAAAAAATAAATAAATTATCCCCCCAAAATAAATTAGGCCTACCCCAGTAAAATGTTGATAAGTAAAAAAGAAAATAAATAAATTACCCCCCCTCCCCAAATAAATTGCTGCAGTAAAATTATAATTATAATGTAATTATTTATACAGGGGATGACTTGACTAGGGGAAGAGTTAACTTGGGGACGACTTGACCCGGGGACGATTTGACCCGGGGATGACTTGACTAACATTTGGTTTGAATAAAGGTAGGGCCTATAGTAGTTTCAGTACTTTGAGTTCTCAAAGTCACTACTCTGTGAGTAGTGACTTTGAGTTTTCGAAGTAGGGTCTACAGTATTCTATTATTCAGTTTTTTGGTGCATTACGTACGTGTAATTTGTTGCTTTGAGTTTGAGGCAATGCTCTAAAGACATGAAACAAGGATGGCTGAGGACAAACCTGATGAGGCTAGGACAACTTGACCATTTCCCAATTCGACCTGGGACAACTGAACTGAGAGTGAGACAACTTGACTGATGCCATGTGTGATGCCGTCACTGATGGGACAACTTGAACATCTGTCGCTGTCTGTGCCTTAAATGTACAAACAACTCAACTGTTCATCAATAGAAATACCCTCAGAACTGTGGGGTCCAACGTCAGACCCCACAGTTCTGGGGATACAATAGAAACACCTGCACTTCACCATGTTTACACCCTTTCTCTTAATCAAAAAAGAGAAGGGATTGGGGAACAGATTTGTTGTCTCTCATACTGGCAGACTAGCAGCTGGTCACTAGTGTGGCCGAGGTGCCTGTGTATTGCGAATGGTACTTAACACCACCGTGCATATCACATTGCTGTCACACCATGCTGGTTGGGTGGTTTGGCACCACCCACTAGTCCTATGCATGCTGCCTCACCAGGTCCCTGTGCAACACTGCATGTCATGCCCAGCAAGGTAAATTGAAATGTAACTCAACACGCCCAAGTTTGCCGAAACATATCAATGTGCAATTTACGTTTATAATTGCCCCGTTTATAATTGCCTCTGTAATGTTCATGCTTTGCACGGTCGAGTTGTCTTCATGGACAACTTGGTAACTTGTCGAGTTGTCCCACCGGTCAAGTTGTCTCAACAGTCGCGTTGTCCCGAGTCAAATTGGTAAATGGTCAAGTCGATCGTACAACATGCCACCTGATAAAGTTTCAGCTTAGTGGATACTGTCAAGCGTGTGAGTTGTGTCAATGCTTGGTGCTTCTAACTTGGTGCCTCTAACATATCAAAAAATTTGTCTTTAGATGCATTGTTGTAAATGGCCTTCTTTCATTGCTTTCCGCAAAATAACAGCTTGCCAGAAGAATAATTTCGAAGAGAGTTTTGTCCCATAACCATCTTTATAGACCTAGACCAAGTATGCTTTTCAACAGTAATTGGTCAGTTACTTTTTGGATAATTGCCAAAGATGGACTGATTCTTACTAACAGTCAGGCCTAGCTGGAAATATCCGCACTAGCTCCCCAAGTCATGAGCTCATATCGCTGGATATTTCCAGCTAATGTAAGCATGGTTAAATATGTTACTGTAAGACCTACCATGAGGCAGAACTTGTGGAATGTTTATCATAATTGGTGGCAAGTGGTACATGTAGCAAGATAATTCTTGCCCCCATGACTGAGGGCAGTATCACTGTGCACTCATGACACTAGCAATGACTATTAAAACCATGTAGGCCATGTCCATTTACATGTATACATGTGCAAATTTGTCATTCAATCAAAAACTGCCACCTTGAAAATTGTGCCACCTGATAGTACATGTAAATAGACCCTAAAACCTTGTAATAATGGAGTGATGTTTTGATGCTAAGATCTGACTGCATACAGTGCATACATGTGTTGTGATTATTGCTACAGTTTATAAGCCTCTCAAAATTGGGGAACAGGGACTAAATATGGAGCCATTTCTTATAAACTTAAACCACCAAGTCAGGTCCTACATGTTTGGTTTGATTTATGTTACACGTTTGCCAGTTTTATGTTCTCACGTTCGTTCAGTCATTTTCAATACCTGCTGACGAGTGCTTATTTTAATGGGACAACACCATAGACTAGCTGTGTAGTGTACAAAAGTGTGACATCATTTTAACCAAGAAGTGAAGTGCAAGTAAATGGAGTATGCATATGTGCTGGTTATTACGCCAATGCCTTTCACACAAATGGCCTGTGACATGTTCACTTCGTTACAGAACTCTGTAGTCCTGATGGTGCTACTAAAGCCCTTATAATAGATATATTGAAGCTCCTTGCTACTGGTATTTTGAATTCATGTGTACTGCATGTCGTTAGAACATATTAATGAAAGTAGATGGAAAGAATTTCAAGTTATGCACTCAAAACTCAGTGCGCAAATGCAGTGCTGACAACGTAAGTGGTGAACGTATTATCATACATGTACATGTATGTATGACACTTTGAAACTATCATACTGATGAATCATCTGTAGCGTGCAAATTGAAATAATTGTTAATTTTGTTTTTGGCAGGTTGGCTTTGATGATGCACCATATTTAGAGCTGCATTATAATTTGCTGCTTGTGCTTTGTTGCAGATTTTGTTTGAGAAATTTAGACAGACACAATGCCAGAGGAAGACATCCCTGTCCGTGTAGCTCTTCGCTGCCGACCTTTGATTCCAAAAGAGAAAGCAGAAGGCTGCCAGATGTGCCTGAAGTTCATTCCCAATGAGCCGCAAGTCGTTCTTGGCAAGGACAAGGCCTTTACCTATGACTTTGCCTTCGGGCCAGATACGAGACAAAACACTGTGTACAGGTCTGCTGTACTGCCCCTGGTGGAGGGCATCTTCAAAGGTAAGTTGACAGTCCGAGATGGGCATAAGGCTCGGTAATGAGCTGGACTATTTTTCCATTGACTTGTACATACCTCACTTATGGAGTTTTGTGCTCTGACAAGATATTGTAAGTGCCACTGATGCATAAAACAGGTAAAAATCAAATTCTTGGTGATCCATAAAAACATGTGTAACACCTCACTTAACTGCATGCTTTCCCATCATTCAGCATTGTAAGGAAATTGCAGGATAACTGGAAGTGTAGCCGAGTCATTTTAAGCATTTTATAACAGGTGCTTGGTGTCACTTACAGGTAGAAGTATCTGTATGCATATAAATGCATGTCATTGGTTTCCTTCTGGTGGTTTTGAAGGGGACCCTGCGATACAATTTTTTTACTACATCCCTGGAAATTGCACCTTTGTGTTAAATTTCCAAATTTGTTTGGCTATTTTAATCTGTGTTTCAGCTGCCAGAGTTTTATTCTATGGAATGTGCATAAATGAGCAAAACTGTGATGCCATTCCATGCTTGAAACTCGGTCGTGCATTGATTCGTGCACCAATAAAAGCTGCTTGAATTTGTTGTATTTGCATTGAAAATTTTTATTTCTTTGTTAATTTATTGTTGTGTAAGGACATGTAAATGGGACAGTCAGTAGCAACCTTTCAAAGAGACAACAAGGGGTGTAAAATGTACAGTGTCTTCCCTGATTTACATAATAGATACAAAACCCTTGCTTTTCTGAAAAAGGTTGGACATTTCCTATTGTTAAAAAAAACACTTTTCCATACACTTTATTCCAAAAGAATTTTGGTAAGTTTTCATACATTCAAGAGGACTGGAGTGTTTTCCCTCATTGAAATTTATCATCTTTTGAACTAGCCAGTAATAAAGTTATTACATGTATGTCTTTTATCCGTAAGAAAGGCTTGTGCATTCAAAAATGTGCTCTTGGACAGGCATTGTAGTAGCTGTCATCTTTACCTCCTTCAATGTTGTTCTCCTGTCCTCAGGTTACAATGCCACAGTTCTGGCCTATGGTCAGACTGGCTCAGGGAAGACCTACTCTATGGGCAGCGGGTACAGCATGACTGACCAAGAAACCATGGGCATCATCCCCCGGGTCATTGCTGATCTCTTCAGTGGCATCAACGACAGGGGTGATACAGAGTTCCTTCTGAAGTGCACCTACTTAGAGGTGAGGTCCTAGAAAGGGGCTGGTTTGGGGATTTGTGCATATCAAAAGTAACGATTATTGTTACAATATGCAGAGAATATGTATGTTTCCTGCTCAGGCAAGGATTTTGGAAGGTCCATTAATGTTCCTACAGTGGCAAAATTCCTAAGGAGTAAGGTTTACTGAATTCCTTTTTGTTTATTGCTAGCTGACTTAATGTTTGTCTTCCAAATATACAAGCCATTACTCATACTGATGGCATGACTGAAGAATTAACACTTTTGCAAAAATGTAAGCGTTCTGAGTTATTCATTAAACAGAGCCAGGCCTTCTACTTGCATAATCAGCATTTTCATTAACCATGAGTTGACTTAATTCTGTCTTTTTCTTAATCAGATTCACAAGGAAGACATCAACGATCTGTTAAACACCTCCTTGAAAAAGGAGACGCTTGCTGTGCGCGAGGACCCTGAAGGGGGAATCAGGGTGGGTATCCTTAGATTTTATCCCAAAGTTATGTTTCTTCAGTCGCGTAAATGAACTTGATCAAGGCCTTCAGGCATACATGTAACTTGTCCTGAGGCCACTTGGTTAACTCATTTTATTTGAAAGGATTTGAGTCACTGATCATAGTACCAAGAACATGACACCTTGAGGAGAAATGAGGCATTGTCAAGTCATGTTAACTAGTTGTCTGTGAGCGCAGTGAGACGGTTTATCTGAAGAAAAAGGTTGTGCTTGTCTTCATAAATGTTTTGCTGCATAGTAAAGCAGCGCATTGAAGGAGTTTACAAATCACACAGGACAGCAATATGACATCCAAGGCAGCTAGGATTTGCCCTGAGAGCACAAGTCAGTACATACATTGAATTGGTTTGTCCCACCAGGTATCTGGTCTACAAGAGGTGATTGTCAAGTCGGCCTCTGAGCTGGAGCAGTGCCTTGAGCAGGGCTCAGTAGGTAGGACTACTGGCTCCACTGCCATGAACGCCCATTCCAGCCGCTCCCACGCCGTGTTCACCGTAGCCGTCGAGATGAGGAAAAAGGATGACAGGTTAGATCAGCTGGAACTTGTCAACAATTCCTAATTTTGTGAAACAAAAATAGGAACTCGACAATAACATGTTGCAAGTTACATCTTGAATTGTTCAATATAAACATGTAGTATGCTAGTTTGCTTTTGGAAAGTACACATGTAGAAAGCTACTAACCTGCTCTTTCTTTTTGCCTTTGAAGCGACAACTACTGCCATGCCAAGTTCCATCTTGTGGACCTTGCGGGGTCAGAACGAGCCAAGAAGACCCAGGCTCAAGGAGAGAGGCTGAAAGAAGGTCAACTCATTAATCATTGCATGGCCCAAAACCCATCCAAACCTTTAGCATACTGCCCTAAATCACCCAGCCTGTTAATGTACAGTTGAAATGAGACTTTGGTTGGCAATGGGAAGCTGAGTAGCTTTTTTTGCATAGGTTCTATATTTAGGGATCTTATCTGTCCATTCAATCAATGAAATCTGTCATTAAGAGGTGTCATTTTTTAAGGGTGATAAAGGAAATCTCAGCACATTGTCTGTGACAGTGACGCTATAGAGGTCACACAAGTTCAGAGTGCAGTAAGAAGAGCATCTAGATTCAGTGATTTGGTTGATGCATTGTGCAATCCATTTGTATTCTGGGATACCAGCTTGTATCGACATACAAAATTATGTTGGAAGAGGGCGGGGCAATCGTTGGAAGTGAATCGGTACTGTGTTTTAATTCCAGATGAAACCTCAGGCTCAAATTTTAGGGTGCACTCACAGAAATATATTTAAGTGTAATCTCAAAGAAGATCGTGCAATGCAACCAGTATACCATCTCCTTGAGATCACATTAAGGCTGAACTGAATTTCCTATCTTATGCTCACTCAGGAATCAACATCAATCGAGGCCTTCTAGCACTGGGCAATGTCATCAGTGCATTAGGTGATGAAAATGGTCGCAAGGGTCACATACCATACAGGGACTCCAAGTTAACCAGACTTCTCCAAGGTGAGTGCTGGTGGGGGTTTTCACCTTGAGCAATGTTTCAAGCGGAATGAAATTTGTCAGTTGAATCATGACATACAACAGAAAAGTGAGGGCATCATCAAACTGCAAGGTTCTTCATAAGAATGCTTTGAGTATAGCTTTCACTGGTCTCAAAACCCGAGTTAAAGTACACAGAATAAACAGCAAAGACTAATATCTTCTTAATCTATTGGCGTAGTACTACTTCAATCAAAAGGTCATTGGTTGCTGCTGGGCTCAACAGAATTTTACTGCTACTGCACAATTGTACATTAGAAACGAGGAAACTAAAGGTTGAAGAGGGTTCGATTAAAAGCCTGACTTGCAGTCAATTCCTGTTAACAAACTTAACAGACCTTACTGTTTTGGGCTGAATTGTTCCCTTCAGATGCCCTCGGTGGCAACAGCCAAACCCTGATGCTGGCCTGTGTCAGCCCTGCTGATTCCAACATGGAGGAGACACTCAACACACTGCGATATGCCGACCGGGCCAGACAGATTAAGAACAAGCCCATCATCAACCGAGATCCCCAGTCGGCAGAGCTGGCAAAACTCAGGCAACAGGTAAGAAATTCTTTCATTAAGCGCTTCGCTTTCCAACCCTGTAATGTTCTGATGGTGTGGGGGCTAACTGTTGCATATTTAGAAAGTCCCCAGCTGCAACACACTATGAAAAATGGATGAACAATTTTGAAGAGACACCATAACATTCCAGAACTAGAGGATGTTGGTTTCTGGTTTACATCAAGTTCATTCATCTCTCAACATTGCAGATAGCCATGAAAATTCAAATATTAGTATCAAAAGTTTAAACAAATTTAAGAGAGCAAACATGTTTATGAATGTCCATGGAATTATAAACTTTGATTCTGATAATGAAAATGCGTTTTGCACTCAATAGGTGCAGCAGTTGCAGGTGCAGCTGCTACAGAGCAAGTCTATCCATGGAGGTCCATTGCCTGATGGGTATGTACTCATTGAATCCAGGGGGGGTACAATCCTTGTCTTGCAAACACTGGATGCTGAGGGTTGATTCTCACCTGTACCGAAATGTATATACACACTTTGTTTTGATACCTGGGTTCCGAGTTTGAATCAAAGCCTATCAGATTCATCACAACTTTTGTTTCCAGTCCTTCCCTTATTGCATTAACATTTATCAAAAGGTTTTGGTTCTTCTGACAGTTGGAAGTGAATGTCACCTTCTAAATGACCCATATTTGTCCTTTTGTGTAATGTTTATCTTGTGTTTTTCAGGTTCAGAATTTGGTATAAGTGGGTAGTTCTGTTTGTTTTTCAGTCCTATGGAAGGTGTTGCAGACTTGAAAACTCTTTTGGATAGAAATCACTCCCTTGAGGTAAGATTCTTTAATATTGAATTGTTGTCACAATAACATTTGTTTATACATGTAGCTCAGCGTTGTTTAACTTATACAGGTTTTGTTAGAACAATGAAATGCCAGATTTATCCAGAGAAATTATGGAGAGTTCCTAAATATTGAAAATAGTTTAAAGTGAGCCTTTTAGCCTATTTGTGGAATGCATCCTTGTAAGAGCTGTGATCATCCTGGCCAGCAGTGTTGAAAAATGCTTCAAACAGCATATGGCAACATTTGCTTCATGAAAGCGGCTGGTCACGACTCGAATTGTTTATTGTTGATGATTCTGATTGGCCACATACTGCTTACAATCATACATTGTGACTGATCATGATAACATGCCTTCGTATGTCATCTTGTTGTAGGCCGCCAACCAGAAACTGACCATTGAACTGCAGTCAGCAATCGAACAGACAACACAGATGTGTGAGAAGGCCATTCTGGTACGTAGTGAGTCACTTAGGACTTTTTTAGCTCATTTCTCCTTTTTACAATAAATAAGAAATTCAATGAAATATGGATATGAGAAGTGGCAAGTGTAACCACTTGGAGATCCATGCGCCTTCATTCTGTCATTAGTAGAATTCAGGGCATTTCTGTGGAATGCTGGAAACTCCCTTGGTAAGCAGGAATTTACGGATGCTTACAAGTTTTACATAATGTATGACTTTCAGGCCGAGATGTCTCGAGACAAGCTGAAGCAGAAGCTGGAGCAGCTGAAGGAAGAGACAGACTTGAGTCTGGGGGCCCTGGATCTGACAGTGGGAGCAGCTGACAATGAGAAAGTGACAGAGCAGCTAGACCTGGTCCGCCAGCTGCAGAAGAAAATTATTGACATGGAGACGGAGGACAAGCTGTCCAATGCCGAGTCGCTGTACGGGAATGAAGCTGAGAAAGAGAATGTCAAAAAGGTATGCAGAAATGCCAGATCTTGTGGAGTTCAGCTTGTATAATGTGACTAATACTCATGGGCCTGCTGAACCAAGTGCAGTGTGTAAAGCTCTTATGTATTGTCTCTACAACCGCAACAGTTTCAGCAATGATTTGGTTATTTTATTCCACTTAGCTTGTGCAGGAATTAACATTTCATATATGAAGTCTCATCTGTCAAAAGTACAAATAGCTTATTGAAATTCTATCATTTACTGTTGGCTTTGGTCAAATCCCATATGAAACTGGAAACCTGCTGGACATATTTGATGATAACTCAATGACGAATGCATTTTGTAAGTCCGATATATTTATTTTGCATGTAGATAATCAGGTTTAAAATTTGTAAATATCCAGAATCACTTGACATTGCACCTTGTGAGCTCCCTGAAATTCAAGCACATTTGTTGTGATTTTGTTGTTGCTATTGTCTTGTTTTAAAGGGTTTGGAACTTTGAATGAATTTTAAGGCCTGCTAAAGTTGAGTCCCTACAAAAGGGAAGAGCATGCGATCGGAATTTATCTTCAGTGGATATAAAAGTGTCCATTCATTTTAATCCCAAAGGAGGGCGGTACCTGCAAGTCCCCCAACGTTTCTTCCCCATCCATCGACTTCACCGGTCACACCTTACGCCAGGCCCAGCTGGGCAGGGAACTGCAGGAGCTGAACAACGCCCTGGCCATGAAACAGGAGCTGGCCCAGACCATGGGCCAGAACGATGAGAAGATGCAGGTCATGAAGATACACTACGAGGTGGGCAAAATGTCAGCGCCTTGACCCCAAAGAACAGAAAAGATTATAATCTTCTCACAGAAACTTTTCACATTTTTTCAATTTGGCTTAGCTGAGTTTATTGCATCTGAACTGGTTCCCTTGAATGGTTTCTAGAGACAATGCAACGTGTAACATTTTGTATTATTAATTGTTAAATTAAAGAAAAAAATTTACCTTGAACAAGTGAAAATTTTGATTTTCTAGCCCTAACAGTCCTGAATCCTCCACCCCTGATGGTTAGAGTTAAAGCAAGAGCTTTGGTATCACTTATGTTACAACATAGAGCCAATTGCATTATGTACTGTAATAGAGTAATGATAATGGGCAGGTAATGGGTAATAGTGGACAGGATTTTCGCTTTTTGGGAAGGGGGGTGCACTACTTAGGGAGCCAGAGATAAATAATATAATCTGCCATGGTTTGCACTGAGAATTCCTTTTTCAGCCCAACAGGTGCAACAAATTGTGTTTGGCCCCATGTGGTGGTCTTTTGAAATTGTCTGCAAGGTTTACTGACTAGTTCAGACTGTAATAATATCCAAGATGTTTCACCCAACGTCCCATTGTAAGAATGGTTTACTTTCTTTTAATCAGAGCAATGTGCGAGAGTTGGAGAGTGAAATAGCAGCACTACAGAAGGAACGAGAAAATCTGTCATCAGCGCTGTATGCGGCAAAGTCCAACACTGCCAGCAACAAGTAAGCTTATTTTCAATAAGGGACATAAGTTCACTGGGAAATTCCATCAAATGGATGATTCCCAGAAGAAGTTTTTTCATTTGCGTTCCATGAAAAAAGCACTCTACACTTTATATGGTCCTCCAAAAAGGTTGTTTTCATTATGTGCTATAGTCGAGTATTAGACAATTTGTTTACTTTCTTTGCAGAGTGAGTGAGCAGCGTCGAGTCCGTCTCCAGGAACTGAGCACCGAGATCAGCAAACTGAAGAAAAAACTTACTGAGCAGTCCAAACTACTCAAACTTAAGGAAAAGAGTGATCAAACTGTACAGAAACTCAACAAGGAAATTCAGGTGAGTAGCCACCAGTCCAACTAGGTCCAGAGGTTAAAGATTTGTTGATAGTAGATTAGCTGACAAAAGCAATTTGGGTTTGATTGATTGATTGATTGATTTTTTTTCTTTCACTGTAGTCTATGAAGCAGGCACGAGTACGTCTGATGAAGCAGATGAAGGAGGAAGGGGACAAGTTCCGTCAGTGGAAGGCCGAGAAGGACAAGGAGGTCCTGCAACTCAAGGCCAAGGACAGGAAGAGACAGTGTGAGTTGAGCAAGATGACACAGAGACATGAGAAGCAGGAGAGCGTCTTGAGAAGAAAGATGGAGGAGGTGAGTCGCAGATAGAAAGTTTGTTCACCCTGTGAAGCCATTAAAGCCTCTGATGGGTTCAACCATTTTTATTTATATTAGCCTGTGGAAAATTGTGAAACTATGCATCCAAAACTGTGCAGAAACTGGAGATCTCACCATGTGGTCTGAATGCATGACATGGGATATCGAGTACAAGTGGCTAATTTTCACCTGAATGCGTGCACCCCAGTTCCAACATTATATCTGAAAATGCACTTCAACCCAGGTGCATGACATTTGTGGCCTCAAAATTTTCATAGATCCCTATCCTGCTAAATCCGGTCAGATCCAACCACAAAAATTTGCTTGGATTGGAAAATAGGTTGGGTCTGTCCATTGAATCCTTTGAATTTAGATTCACTTCAGTGGCTCTTGGATAAATTGTTTGAATCAGACTAAACCTAAGAAGAGTTCTGTTGTCAAGGCTGTAAGGATAATTGTATTGGCATTTTTGTTGGGTGCCAAAACCCGCAAGATTGAAGTGGCTGATTCAGTTACTCACTGTATATTTCTCAGGATTTGACTTAGAAGTTTGTAGACCCAATCACATTTCATCAGTGTTTGTGCAGCTCTCATTGAATTCTTACAAACAGCCCATACAGTGTGCCAACACTTCCCACAAAGACATCAGAGAACATGTCTCTATTTTTGTTCATGGTAATACGTAGTTAAGGTTGTTGTTTTTGACAGGCTGCGGCTGCCAATAAACGCCTGAAGGAGGCCTTGGAGAAGCAGAAAGCTGTACAGAAGAAACGATCAGAGGAAAAACCAGAGGAGAAGAATATGGTGGGAGTGGCCAAAAGAATCAAGGTCAGGGGTCACAATTATTTGATTTTAAAAAATTGGGAAAGACGCTCTCCAGCTGGTCGGGGGGGGGGCAATTCAGATGTAAGCTAGTTGGAACTTGTCGCTCATGTAAGTTGTACTGAAATTGTGCAGTTCACCATTTCACAGTTTGATATACAAATAATTTTTTTGTCACATTCTTCACCTTAAGGGCCGGCGACCATTTAGACCCGGTTTGAAAAGGGCCCCCCGGTAAGCTCGCCCTGTTGCAAAAACCCCTTTCATGCCGGCCTGGCTACCGGCCTGTATACCCAGCAAGAAA